CGTAGGTTTGCAGATGCACGAAAGCATTTTATCTTTCCTCTAAACTGGTTATTTCTGGAAGTTTGATAGCAGGCATGCCCTTCCAGAGGGAAAATCCATTCCCTATCAAAGGGCACGCACAGCAGAACATTGCTAAAATGTTTATTTTGTGGCCGTATCACCATTCTGATTAACGGAAATTTGTTACCTGTTCTGAGAGTTGCCAAATGCCGTTATAGTCCTTAACGTGCTGCTGAGGTTCCCTTGAACAGGAGCATGAGAGGGAGCAAGGCACAGGCACCCGGTGCTGCGTGGACGTGGCTCCTGGGCCGCCTTCCCCAGCCCTGTGAGGTGGGCTGTGCTCCCTGGGGTGCAGGGCGAGGGCTGCTCCCCAGGGATGCCGACGCCACTTCAGGCCTGCCCCATGCCCACTGGTGGGTTCCCCTGGCTCCACAAACATATTTTCCCATTGTGTTTTACAGTGTGAGGGTCATGGGCAAAAGCCACCAGGGAGCTGGAAATGGGCTGTCATATGGGAAGGTCTTAGAGCCGGGTGAGCTGAATGTACACAGTGTTTTAAAATGCTCCGGTGGCATTTCCTGGCTATTTTCCCTCTCCCTTGCCCTCTCCTCCACCCCACAAACCCTTGTGCTCGGTTGCGGGTTTTGCTGATGCCAGGAGGGGCCCCGCCTGGCTGCAGGATGATGGGACGGCTGTGGTGGGCTGCCCTCGCTGCAGAGGTGACCCCGGAAGGGTGGTGAGCACCCGGTCCCCCCCTCCATGCCAGAGGTGGGTGCTCAGTGGGTGCAGGGAGCTGGAGCCACTGCTTTCGGCAGCGCTGATGTCCCGCCGAGGTGCAGCTCTTGTTCCTGCTCGGCACTGACGACCGTGGGAGCCGGGAGCCTGCAAAGCTCAGGCCTGATGGGGCCAGACAGTGGAGGCCACCCATCGTCACAGGCAGCAGGGTCTCCTTGCCAGCAGATGGGAGGATTTCCCGGCTGCCAGTCACTTCCCGAGCCCAGCACTCTGGCACACCGGTCTTGGAAGAAGATGCAACGAGTCGCATCCGCCTGCCTGGCTGTCATCGGTGTGCGAGTCGGGAGTCACCAAGAGCATGAGCTCACACCGTTCCTCCGACTGTTCCCGTCCTCGCCCACCATCTCGGGGCACTCGGTAATGGGGTGGCGGTGGCCTGGGGCACCCACGGGCTGCCCCCTCCTTGCCACCCAGCCCCAGCTGCCCACACATGCTGGGAGCGCAGCTGGGCCTCACCCAAACCCACCCCTGTGTCAAGGGCTGTGCCGCGTCCCCGTCCCGTGCTCGGGTGAGTACGGGCTGTACAGCAGCTGCAGCAGGGTTGCATTGAGAATGAGAACGTTTATAGCAAAAATAGGAAATCTGGCACTTCCTCAAGGAACAAAAAAAGGTAATTATTGTTTTATTCCAAGGGTTGCCTTTGTGAGAGTGGCTCTCTGCAAAGGCAGAGCAGTACAGCCAACTGCTTACAATGTTGCGGTTAAAAACTGTCCTGTGGGGATTTTATTTTTTTTTTTTTGCCCTGGTAATCAGCACAGAGCTGCTACGTGGGTACCAGGTCAGGGGCTGGGGGCACCGCTCTGTGAGTAGCGTGGGATTCACACCACCTCTGCTTTGCCTCTCACCCAAGCGACAGCATTGGTGACAGCGGTTTAAGCATTCAGCCCGTAATTGTCCCCAGTGCCATGGCCAGTCGTGAGTTTGCAGCTCTGTTTCTTCCAGCCTCTCCCTCCCTCAGCAATGCCCTGTGGCGTTGTTCAGAAAAAGGCATTTCACTTCTTTCCTGATGAGGTGAATGGGGAAACACCATTTTAAATTTTTGCTGCGGGTAGATCAGCAGGGTGGTGGAGTTGCAACGCAAGCAAAAGGCCGGAGAGCAGGGGCTGCTGTGGCTCCCAAGGCTGGCTTCCAGGTCACAGGCTTGTAACACCATGTAGGTTGGTTACAGCTGTCAGGCAGCTCCTGAGGGCTGCTGGTCCTACCACGCCCATGGAGCAGGGACTGGTTCTGAACTAGATCCAGCTTCAAAACTAGATCATTTTGCTCAAGGTCCTGATTTTTTAAAAGGAAAGCAAACCACAGGCAGCTCCATTTTGACCAAACCTACCAAGGTTTCCTATGGATTTTTATCTCCTGGCTGGTTGACTCTACTGCATGAAGAAGGTGTGAGCTCTGGCTGATGCTTTCAAGCTCTCACTACCCCGGGAGAGCGACTGGGCATTGACATCGTGTCTTCGGATCTTAAAAATATATGGTCTTAAAAAGGCAAGGGTCTTAAAAAAGAGTCCAGGGAGCTGTATAAGGCTGGGTCCCCGTGGCTAGCACACCAGTGATTGTCTATGGCCGCAATTAGTCTGCAGCAGGGGTTGTTAATGGCTGCTCACTAATACACACCCCCTGCCAGATCCATATTCCTCAGGTGCCCTGTCCATTTGAAGGCATGTTCCTGGCATCCGATGCCTGCCCAGGCTGTCACCAGGATGTCCCGAGCTGCTTGTCACATCAACCTGGGACTTGCCTCTTTCTCCACAAGTCCTGCCATTTCCTAGGGTGCTGGAAAAGGAGATTTTTGCTACAGCACTGGGCTAACAAATCAGTCCCCTAATGCTGAATGCAATCCCTGGAGGGTTTGCCAGGGGCATCTCAGAGCGTCTGGACCATGGGTGACCACTGTGGGGCAGCCAGCCAGGAGCTCCGTTGGGGTGGCAGTGCTTGGGGGCTGGCAGGAGCCCCCACTTTCTCTACATCTCTAAAAGTGACCCTTGGCAGCAGAGTGGGGAGCACCCTTGGCACCGCTGAAACCACAGGGTGAGGTGCACCAGCAGATGGGGGTGTTTTTGGCACAGGCCTGGGCAGGCCAGCGGGCTGGCGTAGAGCTTGGTGTGCTGCAAGCCCAGCAGGGCCGAGCTGTGTTCCTTGGCAGGGTCTCCGTGTTACTTTTGTGCTCCCAAGCTGGAACCGAGCTTTCTGGTGCCTGGATCTGCATCTCCTCTGAGAGCAACAGCACTGCCGCCTCGGTGGTGCTTTACAGGACTTGCTCCAAAGCTCACTGCAGAGTGACCCCCGTTTGCTTCACAGGGCCTGGGAGGGCTTGGGGAGCCC